CAAACTATCCGTACCTCAACCTCCCCTCCAATCCTTGTTCTCTCCCACCACCGAATAACGCAGCCACTACCGCCGCAGGTTCTTACACAGATACGGATAGTTCTTCAGACAAAAAACGAGAAAAGGCAGATTCCCCGAATACATTAATGGGACAGCTACGGCAGGACTACAACAAAGATGTCTACCGTTTCTCCGCGGACTATGACGATATGCCATATAAGGTAACTACACTGACATTTATTCATATTTTATTGGTAACACTTTCACCACCAGATTGGTTACTACTATAACATACTAGTAATTAATATTAAGAATAATCAAAATAATAACAATAATAATAATTTCATTAATGCAGCACATTTCCATGCTTTACAGCATGCTCTCTACACTTTATTATCATTATTACCCCAGCAAATCGTAGAACATTTAGGAACATTTGGGCTTCTTGGAAAGTGAACATACTTAAAAGAACTTTGATTTTAGGACTTATTTGTGGGAGGGGGGGGAGGGGGGGGGGGGTATTGAGGTTCAAAAGGAGGAATACTTCCTTCAGTGTTTGGTTTTTGTTTTTACTTAAGCCTTTTTTTTTTTGGTTGGCTTTGAAAGATTTTTGTTGTTTTATTTTTAGTAGAAAAAAAAAAACGAAAAGGGAAGGGGTGGTGGTGGTAGTATTTCTTGTTTGACTTGGCATGGTAGCTGTTTGGAGACATAGTTTTATTGCTAGTAGCTATTGTCTATTGTCATGTAGTTTTAACTTTTTGAAGGTATTCCAAAAATATTATTGTCATACAACTGTGTTTTCATAGTCATAGAAACAAAACAGTTGTTTGGCATCATTCAGTAACATTTCTCTTTTTTTTTTTCTTCTTCTTTTTCATTTTGTACCTTTCTTTTGGCATGCAGTACTTACAGGTAATAGTGGGTGTCAAAGCTTTCCAAGTCTGCCAGCGTCATTGTTTTGCTTTGTGTATTAGTAGCAGTGGTATATTCAAATAGCCGTTGAAGATTTTTTAAAGGAAAATGAGCGATATAGAAAGACTACAGGTGCTTGGGTTGTTATAGCTTTTTTGTTTGAGGGGAGAGGGTATGGGAGGTATGTTTTATTATCGGTCTGTGAATGTACACAGCCAGCGTTAGAGGAAGAGAGAGAGAGAGAGAGAGAGAGAGAGAGAGAGAGAGAGAGAGAGAGAGAGAGAGACAGAGAGAGAGAGAGAGAGAGAGACAATAATGTTTTCAATCCTGTGCCGCTCTACCAATTTTCCCATGTAACTTATTGTTTGTAATAAAAATGGAGGTATTCTAACTAGGACATGTCAAGGCACAACTTAATATTGGAAAGAGCTTACTTGGTTAGCGAAGTTTTCTAACCAGGGTAAATGACAAAGGCATGAAAATTTATTGTAAACAGACATTGAAGTTTATTCGGTTTTCATCGCAAAGGACTTTAAATGCGCATTGCCATTCAGTCTCTGACTAAACCGATTTGCTTTCTTACATAAAACTTGCTGCTGCGATAGTTGGCTTGGAATGTCATCATTAGGCTGTTGTTGGTGTTCTGGTTGTTTCTGTTGACGTTGTTGTTACTTTTGAAGACTAACACCTCTCCAAACACATTATAGGTCAAGGTCATTCCATTTTAATTTTAGAAGATTAATACCTCTCCAAACACATCATAGGTCATTCCAAAAATTAGTTACTAGGTCCTTCGTATTATCTCAGTCAGGCTGACTAGAAGAAATTTTTTTTTTAAAGCAAGGTTATCACAACACTAGTTTTATTTTCAAAGTTTGAAACACAAGTCGCGTCATTTCGTTTTGAAAAAGGAATGAACGCAATGTGAATGCAGCTGCGAAAGTAAAATTAAAATCAACATCTCAGTGCCTATCATTTTAAAAATTTTTAAACTGATAACAATGTCACCTATAAAGCAATTCGTTTTTTCTTCAACCTGTATAATACTAATATCTCAGATTGATACATGTATGAAAACTTAAGTAAACTCAAAATTGCTAAATGATCCTAAAATGTGTTAAAATAATATACTAATTTAATAAGAAAGTCGTGATTTGTGACGCTTTTTGTGTATAACTTTGTTTGCGACTCTGTTGTTGTTGTTGTTGTTGTTGTTGCTGTTGTTGTTATGGGCCTTGTTATGATGATGTGACTGCCTGGATATCTTAAGTTGTAGAACAATTTTTCATGTTATGTTTTGCACCCAGTGAGGGTCTTGGCTGCCCTTGACTGTGGGAGTAGAAAGATGTGACTACTTGGTTTAAGTATCTTCCCCGTTTGGGAATCGAAATGGTGTAGGCTATTCTGTGTGCAAGCCAGAAGCCATACCATTACATCTCAGACTCTGGTATTGTGTGTTTGTGTGTGTGAGTGTTTGTTTGTGTGTGTAGCCTATATGTGTGTGTATATGTGTTTGTGTGGGCATATGCATGTGTGTTTTTGTGTGTGTGTGTTTGTATGTGTGTGTGTTTTGTGTGTGTTTTGTGTGTGTACTTGTGTATGTGTGTGTTTTGTGTGTGTGCTTGTATATAAGTGTGTGCTTTTGTATCTTTGTGTGTGTGTGCGTTTGTGCCTGAGTGTGTGTGTGTGTGTGTGTGTGTGTGT